ATAACACATACATACATACACACAAACACACACACAAGAGCTCATCCTCACTAACACAAACACTTACCTTCATACCCACATGTTTAATCTACACTTTTACATCACACAATTAGCTGTCGTTAGGCTCTCTCTAAATTCGACAGGCATTCTTCTCAGATCGTTTGTCTCATCCCTGTAGCAAATAAAGTAGAGAGTATCGTTAGACAAAGCACAGAACATGATATTAAGTTCTGAAGCTATGTGTATTTCTTGTGCTTTTACATACATAGCATTATAGAAGATAATAGCACAGTCCATGAGCACAGCCCACTGGCACTTACGCGGTTGCAGCTGTATATCCTTCGCAATGCAGTTACGGACGATCGGGAAGTTGTTATTCCAGTGGTCGACGAGCGCCTCAAGGATATTCTGGGCCGTTTTCTGGAAGGTCGCTAGGTTGCCGTCATTCAGGTAGGCCTTAAATGCTTCAATGAGTCTGAATGTGGTTATCCATATAGTGCTGCATGTCATAGCATCCGCTCTCAACTCGTCAGGGTGGAGAAGTAGCTGGTGATAGGAGGCTGCTAGGTCTGCAGCCGATTGGACAATGGCATTACGAGAGTGTTCCACCATGTCAGCTTCAATAGGGAGTTGGTACGGAAAGCGGTATAACCCGCGATTGATGGGAACAGAGTTATTCGTCATTCGGTAGTGGTCTACACAAGTGGGTGTAACTTTAGAGTCCTTCTGCACAATTCTCACTGAGCTGACCCACTGGCTATACTTATCACCTTCCTCCGCCTTCCCATCCTTGTAGTTCTGTGCCATCTTGGCCGTCTCAACAGCTTGGAGGGCTGGATCCCGTGTCCGACAAATTTGACGTACGGGTTAAGCTCCTTCTTTGAGTCGTAACTTCACCAAGATATCTTGATATGCGTGGGCCGCGTTGTTCATAGCAAGCCTCGTTAAAGAGGTCCTTCAGTGTCTGGAGTTCGCCGGGGCTCTTGTTGAGGATCTTGGCTAGTCGGTCTAAATGGCGGAAGTTGTACTCATCAGGAAGCTTCTCACTCTCGGGGCCGTAAACAGGTGAAAGGTCGATATTTGTTAGTTTTTCTAGGGCCTGGGGAATGAGGGAATGTCAGTACAGATCGAGTCCTGTGACTGGCGCCGACCAGTAGCATAACGGCTATCGTGTTCCGTCGTATGGGACCCTGTATTGCTATTGAAGTGATGGTCCCGTGGTTGGGATGGTTGGTGTGAACGTGTGCGGAACGAACCATTCTCTCGTTGTGGATGACGGCTGTAGTCACCACGGGGTGTACCGTCGCTACGGTAACCCGTATCACGGGTGCGACCAAGAGAGAGTTCCCGTGGCCGGCCGCGTGCCGTGATCATCCTAGCTGCGTATGCTGCTGCCTGTGTTGGGCCGAACGTGTCGAGAGCTTGAAGTATGGCCTCTTTCAATTCACCCACATATGCTGTGGTGATGAATGGGTGCCCACAGGGCGATCATGGGGTTCCTTAAGGGAAGCATAGAGCTCGGGAAGCGCCTTGTGCTAAACTAATATGAGCGTGTCCTGTGCTTTAATGGATGTGGAGACTTCAATGAGTGCCTGGTGGTGGAACATCCCCTGATTATCAGCGTCCCGCTGGATATCACGAACGATTGCCTCCCAAGTAGGGAGGGCCTGAGCAGGTGGCAGGGGGCGGGAGGGGTCAACACGGTGTGTAGGTGGATGATCAAGACGTGTTTGTCCAACATGCATGCCAAAGGTAGGCAGGTAACGCGTGTCCGTGGCCGCGATATCGTTGGCATCATCAAAAGCATCCGCTGTTTGGGTCGCCTTCGCGCCATCTCACCAAGTATTCCAATTTCCCTGTATCATCATTAGTACGGTGTGTAATAATGTGGCAAAACTCAACACCTCCTTCTGTCCTCAATTCATTGTCAAGTGGTGGGCCTGTACGCCGATGCACTAACCGGAGGAGTCCCACCCGTCCCGGTTTGTCATTGAATTCTGGAGGGGTAGAGCCGTCTTTATTCGCCAACTCATAGCGTTGTCCGACCCTAGCCTTAACATATATATATGTCGTTCTACCCTCCGATCGTACCATTACCACATCACCTTCATCGGAAGTGTACCAAGTCATGGGCGTGCAGGCGATCAAATGTCTCGTGAGTTTGCCCGTATACTTCTTGGTAATGTGGTGGAGTGTCGGCAGAATGGTATCCTGCAACTAGTCTAACCGTTGGGCCCAGGTGTCGTTCGTCATCGGCTGAGTTTTCGGTAACTCATCAGTTAAGTCGGCAAACGGTACGTGACGACGGCCAAAATATACACTGAACGGCGCGCTCTTATGACGTCGGGATATCCGAAGGTTCCGATAGAGCATCGTAAACGGAAGGCGTTCCTCCCATCATAGAGGAACTGCCTCACAGCATTGTCGAATGGAACGTGTAATCTCCTTATGACGTCGTTCAGCAGCACCAGTACTTGGCGTCGATATGGCGATAACACCTTGTGTAGCATACCCACTTCTTGGACCAGGAGCTCCACTATCTTGTTCGTGAATTCATTCCCCATGTCCGTCTAGATCATACGTCGGAAACCATGCTCGCCAAAAACTTGTATTAGTGTCTGCGCTGTCGTCTCCTTCGTCTTGTCCGGTGTCGCTCGAAGGATTGAGTAGCCTGTAGCGATGTTCAGGACGTGAAGTATGTATTTGTTCTTTCTTCTGGACTCAAGTGGCATCGGGATGTAATCAACTTGAATATGGTCCCACGGGTAGCGCGCATCAATGCTAATCATCGGGGGAAAGCATTTACGTAGCGTATCCTGCCCCAAACATGTAGCGCACTGCCGTTTGACTTCCATTGCCAATTTGAGTGTGCCCGGCCATACATGGCCGTTATGTTGGAGTTGTTGAACTGTGTCGGCCACTCCATGATGTCCTTGTTTGTGGTGAGCTTGCATGAGTCGTGTACGGCGCTGTTGTTCTTCTGGTGTCGCTCGCTCAAACGCCGGTTGACCCTCTGCGTCTGCCATCACCACCGAGATATCTCGTGCCGTATCTAAACACATCACGTACGCCGTGTGTTTTGGTTCTGCATACCCAAGTCGCTATGAAAACAGCGGGTCCAGTTTGAACCCGTTAGGAGGCCTCACCCGTGCAATCACAGTGCCTCCCCATGGTGTCTTGCCACAGGCGTATTTAGCATACTTGAGGAACGTATGTGGCGTTTGGCTCGGACAGCAATAACTGCTTGAATAAGTCAACCCATGGTGCCCTTGGTACCCACGGTAGACATACAGTTGCCCTTGCACCATCAGCCCTTATCTTGCGCAACATTCTGTGTATCTTACTTATCCCATGGTGGGTTCATCCATCCGTCGACCGTCGACCAGTCGTGGGCAAACGCACCTTCCCCCTCGTTTTTAGTCCAAAATCGAGGGTTTTAGGTTTTTAGAGAGCTGAGCATTAGTTGGGTCCGCAAATACGTCTATATTATTCAACCCGAATTGTTGTTATGCTTGTTCAAAGTAACTGGGGAATAACTGCCAACAATCCGTGTACAGTATTTACAGTATTTAAGGTACCCTGCCCAACATGTCCGGAAGTACGCTCGTCTCTCCTGGTATATGTGATATGGTAAAGTTGAAAGGTGCGATAATATGGTGCCATCTCTGGAGTATCGGATTAAGCTTGAGCTGTGTATTCATACACACAAGGGTCTTGTGGTCCGTGAAGACTGCAAACCGTTACCCATCCAAATGCTCCCTTAAATGTGTAAGCCCATACACCAAAGCTAGTGACTCCTTCATTGGTGTAGCGTAGTTCTGTTGCGCATGGTTCAGAGTCTTGCTAAAGAACATTAAATAGTGTTTCTTCCCGTTGACCCATTGGAATAACGCTCCCCCAAACCGTAATCGCTAGCGTCGGTTTCCAAGTTCAATGGTATTACCATGGACCGGGAAGTGCAACGCTACTGCATTAACAACTGCATCTTTCATCGCCTGCCACGCCTGTGCATGTCGCTCCTCCCAACGATCGCCGATCAATTCCTTCGGTTTGAGTTTGCAAAATTCGCGCAAAGGTGCGACCGTGTTCGCAAAGTTGGGGAGATGCTCATGAAGGTAATTAGCCAATCCTAAGGCGGAGGCTATATCCTTGTAACGTAGTGGGGTAGGCCAGTCGATAAGCTTGGCCTGTTTCTCATAATCAATACCTATGCCTTGTGCAGACACCTTCTTCCCTAGGATCATCATTTCGGGAATAGCAAAGTGGCACTTGGTGGGGTTAAGCTTAAAAACTGTGGTACGTCAAGCGTTGGATCACCTTCTGCACCGTCTTAATATGTTCGTCATAATCGTCGCTAGCGATAACGATGTCGAGCCGTCAAGTATCGTGCTCAAGGTACGCTGGAACTGTTGCGTGAGCACATGGAGTCCGAACGGTGCCGATGTAAGCGAGTACTGATAACACTCGGTGTGTAAAACTAAGCAAGTATTGTGAATCTGGATGGATCGGCAGCCTGTGGTATGCCGCAGAGATGTCCAGCGTAGTATAGTACTTCTTACTCTTGAGGCGAGAGATAAGTTCGTTGACCTTTGGAATCAAAAACTGGTCACCAAGGATAAGCGCGTTACCGGCGCGCATGTCTAAACACACCCTCACCTTCTACACGTTTCCTTCCGCATCGAACGTCGGGACCGCAAGTAGAGTGAGGTTGACGGTTGTCGGTGTCGTCCGCTTCGTGATCACCAAATCCGCCAACCACTTCTTCACTTGTTCGTCCACATAGGGTAGCCAACGGTCGGACATAAAGTTACATGTCGATCTGCGCATGTGCATCGCCTGTTCACGGGTGACCGGAATAGTAACTTCACTCCCTTCCAGACGACATCGCGCGTTGTCAGCAATCATCGCGCTCGCTTCTAAATCCTATGCCAGACGTTGGCATGCATCGGCAGGTTCCGTCGTGTTCAGTGCCTGTCGGCATGGTATGGGTTCGAGGAGCTCATCCAGTTCTGTGGGGTCTATCGGTGCAAGTGTCGATTGGATACCGCATTTGTATAAACCCAAACCTTTCAACATATCTTGTCCTACTATGATGCCTATACCTGCAGGTAAATTCATCAACTCTCAAGTGACCAGTTCTGCGATTGTCGTCGAACCGTCTGCGGGTTAAGGCGGCGATTGGTATAGTCACCAGCCCCGTTACTCGGTAGACCCTCGCGATTATTACGGTTCTGGAGTCGCGCCGTGGTACGCTGCTGTGCGTCCTGAATATAGGGGCTCAACAGCTGTAGAAGCTCGTGCGTCTTCCTCAATTACCACTTGGGATGCAATTTTAGACCACGTTCATACGTTCGGTCATTGAGAGCTTCTTCTAACAGTTGTACAATGCAGTGGTTTAAAATTCTGTTGGAAGTCTGCATCCGTCTGACACCGTTCACGTGCCTTCCTATGGTTCTCCATGAGCTATATCATTTGTTCCATGATAGGTGTGCATGTTTCGACTATGGCCCTTGGCTAGCTTACGGATCGACAGTGGCTTGCGTCTCATGCGAGCAGATCTCTTCGATTTGTAGTTGTGGCGTCCACATCTTCAATCGTTCAGAGCTGTCGCGAATGTAATACAATGTTGACTTCTCAGCCTTAAAGTAAGATAATACCTTATGAAACCATGTAAGGCTCCAACTCTCATCCAACCCTGCGATTTGCGCGTTCTTGAAAACCTCAAGGAGAGCCCCTCTCATATCCCGTTCCATGATGTCAGGAGGTGGTATCTATTCGAGGGCCAGTGCCATGTACGTGGTGTGGTGATGGTACCGGACGTTTTTCTACTGGACGGGACTCTGGCGTAACCCGAAGCGTTTCGATTGCTCCCCTAAAAGCTTCAGCTCGAGCCGTGTTATTATTCTCTATTGCTTGGCATAACTCGTCGCTCAGGTGAAGTATACGTGCATGCAGCACCTGTCGACTTTTCTCGACTTTTCTCGATACTCGCCGGTTTGGGTGGAGGTGTAGGCGTCGCCGTCCCTGAACGCTTAGAAGTCTATACATACTCACTGGCTGCTTCCTTCTCGAACGACTGTCGTTGCTGTTGTTGGCGATAATTCATACTCAACTGGTCTTGCTTATTCTTCAGCGCATTATTCCCATGTGGGTTCTGCTTGACCAACAACCTGCTCACGTGCGAATTCTTGGAATGATGGAGCCTCCTCAAAAGAGGACAAGGTATCTTTCTCCTCGGTTAGTTGACCTTCCGACCCAGGTAACTCATACCCGAGTCCATGGTACTTTTGTGAACGGCCTTGGATACAAAACGTGGGATTGTCTTCTCTACCTCGTGCCGTGTGCACCCGTTGGTGTGAGCTAGACGACGATTCGGTAGCGGACAACAATGTCGTAGGTCGCTCTGAAGATGTGCGCTGCAACCTTTGCTCGTACTTCTCCAAGAGCGACTATTGTTGCGCCATAAGCTCGGTTAGTTTCTGTGTAGCTGGCCCCGCACCGTGCCCTTGTTGTTGGAACGACGGCGGTGACGTCTGCGCTTATTAGGTGGTAGGCGTTGTTACTCATTACCGGAAGATGAGGCTCCAGAAGTACCCGAAGACGAACGGGGAGGCAGACTATTCCTAGCTACATATTCACCAGTAATGGTCTGCTCCTGGTCCGCACGCAGGTCGGGATCTCCCTTGGTCTCGCCGTCAATTACGACGTCTTCCCTCGATAAGCCGATAATCACCCTTTGGTGACATGGTTGCCTGCCTGTCGGTAGCAACTGCTTGGTAATGTACCTCTCCTTGTGCATCCTGTGGCTCCGCCCGCTCTTTCTCAGCTCGTTGGTTGGTATAGTCCGTGATAGACTGGCGGCGCTTAGTTCCTCGTCGGTCTATGTCGTCTTCCTCCCGACGTTCAGGGGTAAGATATTGCTGCCGACGGCTTTGACGTGGGTTGGACATAATAGTACGTGGTATAGATCAGTGGATGTTTGGAAATGTATGTAGACGTACTCGAAATAGGTAAGGTATAAATACTTATTCCGTCCTAGAGTTCGTCCCCCATCTCAACAAGTCTCGACACTGTCTGCCCGGAATGGTTTGTTCCGTGCTCTACTACTTCGTTTTCTTTCAGAGTGGTATTTGGCTCGTAAGTCCTGCTCATCCTTCATCAAACTGTGGTGGCGCATGCGCTCTGTCGAAAACACTCGTCCGGGTGCGCCCTACACTCCTCATGTGCTACTCCTACTCCCTGGTGGAGGCACACCCACCTTCGGTGACCTACCTTTGCTCCTTAGCGAGCTCCTAAGCTCTCTCCTTACTCCCCTTTCTTCGCTAACATTACTCTACCTGGTATCTGCATGTACCGATGTGGTTGTCGATGTGTATCTGCCTGATGTGGTGCTATTCGTACCCCTCTGTACACTGCTAAACTTGCTTGGCGCTTTCCCTCGAACATGTCTATCACTACGTCCTGCCTAGATAAGAAATTCCTAGTACCTCTGTTGCTTCTAACTGCGTATTGTGAAAATTCTAACCTAGTCCCCACTTATTCTACCAAGTACTATTTCCTGTCTACGTTCTGAAACTTCTAAAATGGTTCTTTGGTGAACAGTGATACTCTAACCATGCTGATAGTCCTTATCTTCCTACAACTCTACTGCTATCCCCTTCGTTCGGTGCACATGGATGCCATTTAGTGCGCACATCACTTGTTGCACCCTTCGATCTTCAACACGTTGCTTCAACACGTTGCTTCAACACGTTGTCAACACGTTGGTGACGCACTGGTCTTTGGATATTATAGTATTCATTGATAATTGTATACGCTGTCTATGCTATGCGTCCTTAACTCTCTCTTTAACCATGATTTAGTCCCTCTTTGGTACCTCCGATTTGGGACATTGCTAACTATTTATCCCTTTCCTTTGTCTTTTACTAGAGTCAGGTCGCATTTCTTGTAATATTATATCTCCTTGCCCCACTTTACCGTTGGAGCAACAATCCTATTTCTAAAACCAGACTTCTTCTATACACACTACCCTACCCCTTAATTCTTACTAGGCGTATATACTGCTTCCATTTCTCTGACGCGAATCCTAATGAACATCCTTTGTCTAAAATTAATTCCCGACCGGGGTTCTAACTCGATATCTAGCGTACAATACTACCCACTCTATTTGTCCTTACAACATACAATCACAAAACTATTTTTCATAATCGTTTCTACTTAACTGATCGTCTGGTTGGTCCCTCGTCTTGGCCATTTGGCCCTTCCGGTCCTGTTCATGTCGTTCTTGTATTTCTGATGTCTTCTCCTGTGAAGGTTGCTCCTTGGATTCGGTCGTGGTGTCATTTCCTGCATCTTTTCTTGAAGTCCAAGTAAAGTTAGATACCTATCTGGGAAGCCTAAACCGTTCGAGCTGTCGAGCCATGCTGATTCTATTGAGTCTGAACCGTCTAATGTCCACCTCAGATTCCCTTTGCTGATCCCATCGGACTTGCTGATCATTCGGTCTCGACGTCTCATCTGCTTCGCTGCCACTATTCGACACCAGAGATGGCATCGTGGCACTAGCATCGCTACTCGTGTACCCGCTATCCTCTTCTTCCGCGGGTAGATTCTGAAAGATGTCGTCATGTCGCGCCATCTTACTTTTGCTATTGCATTCTATGTTTTCTTTGTTTGTTTGTTGTATTCATATGGGAAAAATATATAATAAAGCGCCACCAGCGCACCAGTCCCGAGAAGATCTACACCGGTGAATTGTCCTACTCTGAATTCAAGGAGACCATGCTGCAATACTTTGACCCGGACGCACCAGCCAAACTGTAGAAAACGCTGCCTACTGATACCGACATACAGAAAAATATTGAGAAGTGGGACGAAAAGGCCCTTGAACTGGCCAAAAGAAGTGCCGAGGGGCAGAAAAATGGCCTACAGGAGATAGAGGATGGAGTTGCTAGAAAACAGAAAGAGTTAGATTTACTTTTGGACGCAAAAGTCGACTGCCACAGGGTCGAGATTTCTAATGCACTAACAAAGGTTCACAAATACAACACCGCGGAGTTCCCCACCGATCCCCGTAAGGTCATTTCTTGGTTGCTGAAACGGCAAATGGAGTGTATTGTGATCGGCCAAACCGTGATTCCGTATGGTATCATCGCTTACGCCATACGGTCCGAGCCTGCGTGCGGTTTCAGAAAGCCAGATTCACAATCTGGCAGTTTCCCGATGCGCTAGCCGAGCTTTTCTATCTTACAACCCACCAGTACCGAGCTCCAGTTTTGACTCACTGAAGCGGGAGTATCCGAGATCGAATGATCCCCAATTATTGGCTGACGGAACCCCAACAAGTAGAGGCATAGAAGTATACGGTTACTTATCCAAACCCAAACCCCACAACGGTTTTGGTGCCATGACATCTTTCAACAACACCATCGGATCTTGGATAGATGCTCTAGAAGCTGGGGTAGCGGCAATTCAACCGAACGGAATCCAAACAAGCATGATTGATGATACTCGCACGAGATTTTGCAGTTACTGGGAGTAGCCGAGATGGAATGATCCCCTTTTCTTGGCTGACGGAACTCCAACAAGTAGAGGCATAGAAGTATACGGTTATTTATCCAAACCTAAACCCTACAACGTTTTTGGTGACATGACATCTTTCAACAATACCATCGGATCTTGGATAGATGCTCTAGAAGCTGGGGTAGCGGCAATTCAATCGAACGGAATCCAAACAAGCATGATTGATGATACTCGCACGAGATTTTGCAGTTACAAATTTACTGATATATCCGCTCCAAAGCCGCTTTTCGGTGGTCAGTTGCCTGTCAGCGACCCCAAGATGGGCTCAGCACCGCCAACCTCCGGCACCTCGATTAATTTCTAGTGGGAAGAAGCTTGTGGGCAAACCCATCCGAGGCTCAAAATCGCCGTATCGAGCCAAGAAAGTGGGTGTGAAACAGCTCGAGTTGACATACGAAGATCCATACGCACACAAATCCATGCACAAAATGAAAATGAAACAAAATTAGACATGCAGACGTAAACAAACAAATATATACAAACGTGTACACACATAAACACATACATGTGTATGTATCTATATAGAAAGACGTACGCACTTCGTCTAAATGGGGAATCACACACACACTCAAATAGAGGCACACATACACACACACACGTACACGTACACACACACACACTTCCATACACACATACACACTTCCATACACACATAAACATACACGCACACACGCACACGCACAAACATATATATATATACTATATACTATACACACATACACACACACCACCTACACACACCAACACACACCACACACACAGAAACACAGAATCATCTCAGACAAACAGAGACACAGACTCCGTCCCAGACACAGACAGATACACTCATACACCTCACAGGCACACACAACACACACACACACACCATAGACTCACACGTATACACACACACACACCATAGACTCACACGTATACACACACACACACCATAGACTCACACGTATACACACACACCACAGACGCACACGTATACACACACCCCACAGACTCACACGTGTATAGCTTCCAATTCCGGTAAGACGACAGTTCTTTTGGACTAGATTAACAATGTTTATAATACGGATTTTATAGCCCAAAGTAGATTCAAAACTGACCTTTCGACATTGGATCAAGATATGGACGATATCAATGTAGAATATCAGGCCGGGTTATCAAAAGGTTTTATTTACAGTACTCTTATTGTTATCGACGATTTGATTAAAAATATTAAAAAGAGAAATGACGATAATGCTCGACTCTGCTACAATAAAAGTTACTTTATTATAAGTTATATAGTGGTATCTCAAAAAATTTCGAGAATATCCATTGGCATTCAGGACCAATCTGGGTTATGTCTTGTTCTTTAATATAAGAAACAGGCGCGAAATCAACGCATTGATAGAATATACTTCCATATTTAACAACCCAAAAACTTATGAGAGAGTAATTTTAGATATCTTTAAACAACCCTTTTCATTTTTATTTATTAATATGGTTAAAAAACGGTTATTCAAGAAATCTGAAGAGGTCGATATAGAAGCGATAGATGATAGAAGTGAATTGTCCGATGAAGAAGATTAAATGATTTAATTTAATTAATAAAATCTGATTAAACAAAGAAAACGAAAGAAAGAAAAGAATGGCACAAAGAATTAAGCCTTTAAAATAGAGACATCATTTTCAACCAAGACCTGAATATTAATACGAATAGTTCAAATAATTTTGCAAATGCCTTTTACACCCCCAGGAACATCATTCAACATTACGGTCGATTTACCGGCCCGAGTAAAAGCCCCGACCACAGGTGAGACAACTAATCGACTTGGAAATATATTATTCGATGCCGCGGATATATTATCGTTAGCAAAGTTTTGTGTTTTGTCGTCAAATAATATACCGTTGATGGATACGGATGTAGCCCCGGCAACATATGATAATGGGGTAATAGAGACCTTTCCGGTTCTGGGGGCTGGTGTTCAAATTTACAATGAAACGACCGATGCGGGTATTTCTCCACCCCCTCTATGATAACACAGAGCTTCAACAGTTTAATCTTAGAATTGTTCAAGAAAACGGGAACCCAATTTCATTCACTGTCGCGGGACCGATGATCACATTTAAAATTGAGACCAAGTTTAGTGATAATGACTTACATGGTGGAACATTACTTGTTAATCACGCATATCAAGCGTAATATTAATTTGAATTTTCTAATTTTTATATTTGGAAAAAGGAATTAGAAATTTGATTTCATTATTGATTTCATTTAGAATGTAATCAAAGTAGACCGGTTGGGGTTAATGGTTAAAATATTACCGTATTGTACGAAAGCGGTTAAATGACTCAGAGTGGTCCCCATTGTCGTCAATAGAAGAGGAAAACCAAATGTGACTGTTCTATCCAAACCTCCCAACTTGCTGTTATCAACAGTCATATCAACACCAATGGCCCAAATCGAAGAGACGGAAGCCTCATCATCGGCGGGAGCCAATCACTCCGGCGATATTCATACCGCCATTTTTCTGTCTGACATTTGCCAGAACATGCGGGAAATATGCCAGATACTCTCCCTGTTTGTATCCACCGGCACCTCTATTTCTGGTGTTCCGGATGGGTTCCTGTGGAACACGACGGAAACGAGAGACATTTGACACTGCGATGTTCCTCCGTGAATAAACTTGAAACTGTTCTTTGTGATATCGGAAATATGAGTGTTATTTTTAAGCACTCCGAAGATACCTTTTGTATCGATTCACAATGAACCAATGGCGGTATCCGCGTCACCCTGAATGTTATGGGTGAATTGAGAAGCGGAAGTGTAATAGTAGTGTAGAGGTCGTTCGGTAAGACTACCCTCGAAAGCATTGACAAAATCGGCGGAAAATTCAACCGTGTCAGTGTTAAGCCATATGCGTCATCCAGGTACAGTTCAATCATCACCTCGGGCATATAAGGCAGGAGAAGAATGAGGTCATTCGAAAGAACACCCGAAATATTTGGTCTCCAAAAGTATTGAACACCGGCCGCGGTATCGGCCGCAGTGGTTGTTCCCTTACCATTCACTCGTCCGTAGGGGCTGGCAACAAATTCGGGAGTGTCTTAAATACATTGATACCCTGAATATCTTCCATTACGGTTCCACCAACGGTAGTTCTCAAACGGGAGAAAGGGTTGCGCTACTTTGCGATGCGGACAATCCCGGGTCGGTTCCCGAAGTCTTGAAGGTGAATAAGAAAAAATGTCATTCATATCGGTCCATTCCGCGGGGAGACGGAACTGAATATTTCTATTCTGATTGGGTCCACAAGGACCGGAACCGGCCTGCGGAATAACCTTTCCCTTGTTTCGTCTCGTGATGAAATTGGAACCGGGGTTATTATAGGCACTACGAGGGGTGTGATTGTCTTTTGCTCGTGTATTAGAGCAGATAAGATGTTTCCGCTCATCTTGTATGTTTTTTCGATATCTTTTATTAGATTAATTAAATTTAAAAAAAAATTTAATCTTTCTTTTTCTTATTATGATTACCGGGTCACCAATGAAGGTCCAATATAAGCGTAGTAAAACCATACGAAGCTTGTATTGGACAACATAAACTACAACATAAAAATGTAAATGGGTTTTTCCTAAATAAGGGTTTTTCCCCTGTTCATGAATTAGTCATGACAGAAATAATTCTCAGTATAAATGCCTTGAGCAGGCACCACAATAAAGTACTTATTCTAAGCTCTTACAATTGGCAGTCTAACAACTTATCAGGTCCGCTACTCTACTCGATTTTTTCAACATGACGAACACCAAGTGGAAGTCGGAAAACAAACTCAAAGGCCATAGTAATTTCAAGATGTGGCTTATGGAACTCACTGTCATTTTACGAGCCGACGATATATGTGATATAATACACCACGCAATGAAGCCCGCCACCAACACCAATTATGAACGAGCCTGGAAAGACGAAGAAATTGGAGAGGGTCAACACTACATAATCAAATCTGTATCGCCAGACATAATGGCTACTCTGAGTGCAACTATGACTCCGAAAGAGATGTTCACTATGCTATACCAAAATTATGGTCACGTCGGAGAAGGAGGCAAGATACGATGGTTAAGTACGACAACAAGACAACGAGAACATGGATAAGTTTATTCTAAGATTGAACACGAAATTTGTTGACGCCTTCAATATGAATATCGTACTTAACGACACCGAGAAGACCACATTTTAACCTGTGCTCTACATACAAATTACATTTCTATAGTAACTCACCTCCTACCGACAGTGCTATGGTACTAAGCTACGGAGCTGCCATAGCATATGTACAACAGACTGCATTGAAAATTGAAGCCCGGATTCTGAATACCAATGCAACATCGCCTTTGGATGCCGCTTTTGCTGCCACTACTAACGTTAAATGTCACAAGTGCAAAAATTACGGACACATCGCACGAAATTGTCGATTGCCACAATTCATTTAAAACTTCAATCCAAGAGGCCGAGGGAGATTTACAGGCCGAGTAGGCTACCAGAGTTAAGGAAGATTTGTTGGACGAGGCAATTTCCAAAATTCAGGACATGGCCGCGATTCTAATAGTAACAGCTCGAGGACCTAGTCATATTGGTCGCTCGACCAACACCAACGCGGAGGATTCAGCAGACGATTTGTGAATTGAGGACGAGGATACAAAAATTATGGATTTAGAAACCGACAACAACACGCTAATTCTGCACTTGCTAATCTCACTTGCTAATCCCAACAGTTTGCTCATAAGACTGCAAGCTGAATTTGACCAGAAAGATGCCGCAGCACAACAACAACAATATGCCAATTGGATACAGTCGGAATACGCGCATATACAAAAACCAAGCAGCACACATACAATGTCTCAACAACCGGCTAATGCTTTTATGGTGAACGCTCATGCCAACCAGGTAGACACAGAATTTAACCCAAGACTGCCCCAATTGAGAGGTCCAGGAGGATATTGACTCGCCGTCGATTCATGTGCGACCAAGCATATATTGCCATATTCAGAAAAGACAGGCGCGCTCAATTTACCGACAACCGCCAACAATACATATTCAGTGAAAGTTGCTGATGGGAACTGTATTACACCGACTTGCTCTGCCGAATTCTTCGATCTCGGAACAGCCCTGCTGGATGAGACATTCACGATTCCATTACGCAGCGTACGATTGATGACAGAACATGGGTATCTCTTTGTATTTTCAGAAAATATCTTGCCATCATTACACCGAAGAATCGCGTTATACATACTGAAGAAGACTCATCTGGTATGTATATTGTCGATTTTTTGAACTTTTGGATTTTTCAGATTCTGCCTATGTCACTTGGCATCAACGTCTCGTACATACTGTCGACATACCCCCTAATTTACCCCGTATAAGACAACATAAGTAGTGCGATGAATGTGTGTAGCATCCAGGGGCCAGAATATCAGAAAAGCCAATCCTAAACCCAAAACCCAGGATTATCAAATACTGAGTTTTGGATCTAGGATCCAATATTTCTGATGATAGAGTGATCAGAAATATAGCGGGATTACCAGTAGATGATACCGGGACTCCCGCGTGTGAGAGAAACACTCAAGTAAAGATTGAGTATAGTGTAGAAAATACTTCACACAAATAAAGACTCAATGCGAGTCCTTCAGCCTAGGACTTTACCTAGCTGTAGGATTCACACTTGAGAAGAGGTCTATTGTTTCTTCTGGTCGTATCTTATTAGCTACTCTCAAACTCTATTTTTAACAATATCCTTACCACGGTAAATCAACCAGCTAAGAAAGGATCATTAACTATAGGGTACTAGAAACGTGAAGTGCCAAAGTGAACTTAGCATAACTTTATTAGAAGTTAGAATAAGAACTACGAGGGACCCAAGAGAGGAAGACGGAAGGCACCCTACTGCTGAGACGAAACCTCAGGGAAGTGAGGAAGGAAAGCCAGCAGGGTAAACTGGACAAAAGAGAAGCGAAGACTCAACAGCTTCTTCGCAGAACAAAGCAAGTGAAGACCGTCAACCAAGGTGACTGTGTGAAGCTATAGCGTGTTTTGTATTCATATTAGGTGACAGATGTTCTAAAAACCAGAAAAGTGTCAAGGTGATTTATTTATCAATGTTGGGAAGCTAAAAAACTGATGAGTCATACAAGAAAGACAGTACAAAAAGGACTCTAGAAGCTAGCATACGAGACGCATACGTACACACGTTCTACCAATATTGATCATCAACATTGACAGTAAAACAACGAGACTTGGTATATTGGAGCTAATACAACGAAGAGAGAGCACAATAATAATTCATGCGCAAAGATAAGACTAAGAAAGTAGAATAGTCGCTTAAAATCATGAACACATTCACACAATCGTTGGATAATAATATCGAGCTTGAACAAAGAGAGAGTAAATCTACGCACAAGTATATTCACGCAAACATAGTTTCAAGTAAGTACATTAATAGAAAGAATCATATAGTGCACTAAAAGAACTTATACGATAAGATCTCACACGAACAAGGTAATTCCCTTACAAAAGTGCGATTTCACATCCTCGAGCAAGTAACAACTCGAGATTTCACACCCTCGAGCAAGTAACAACTCGATCACAATAGCCCAAACAATGAAAACGTACTTGAACATTACAAGATCTCACGCACGCAAGGTAATCTCATTGCTAGATCACACACACATGAGGTAATTCACTTACAAAAGTGAGATTTCGCATCCTCGAGCAAATAATAGCCCGGTCATAGTCTACTACTAGGGATAGTTCCATATTATAAACAATTCTCGATGGCGTTTATTAGAGGCGGCTTGAGTATTTTCGCCTGGTCCCATAGGCTGTGAAGATACGGTCGATAAGTCGTCGTTCTTCCGCTCAGCTTTTCTTCCTGTAGTCTGCTCCGTACATTGTCCATCCTTCCATATGTAAAATTCATCCTAAAAAAAAATGTATATCTCTGGTTCGTGATACTCTGTTGGTTTCTGGACTAAAAACTTGGAAAGTATCAGAGATGGTTCGTTGGGGGTTGGCCATCACAATTCCACGGCGAACGCGCTTATCCCATTTGTTGTTTTAGTCGCCTTCCGCCATAGACATTTGCTGCCGAAGGTTCGAAAACGGTTATAATTTGGTTTTCGACCAGTGAATCTTTCGATTGGCGTTGTCGGATTCCTCTTACTCCCGACGTTGTTATGAGCGTCTGCGACATGTTGGTATGCCTCACTCCATAATTCGTCACCTAAGCCGGAGTTGTGTAGAGTCGCCCTAGCTCTTTCTAAATTGGTACGGTGACTCCGCACAATTTTTCCGTTGTGTTGTGGCGAGTCTTTCGGTGTTGATCGAATATCGTAGCCAAGTTTTTGTAAGTTAGTCTCCACTTCCTTATCCACAAACTCCAAGGCTCGGTCGAATTGTAAAACGTTCGCTTTCCTTTTACTCAGTACTGATAAATCGTCTAGTGCTCCGAATAAGGCGTCATATACTACTGGCGCTTTCTTGGTGGATAGTGGTTCAAATTTCTAGAAATTGGAGCAGTCGTCAATGAGAGTTAGGCCATAGCAGTTTCCTCCAATGCTCCGTTTAAATTTCCCAATAAGGTCAATATAGAGTAAGTCCAATGGGTTTTCGGATGGGCCGTTCTTTCTGATCTTTCGTGTCCGACGTCTGACAAGTGTACCCATGATACAGGACTCGCAGTTCGCATGATAGTCGATAGGTGGCAGGTCCTTGGGTAAATGATCCGGGTGCGCTAGTCGTTCATGCCAACTGGCGGAGTAGGCAAATTCTTTTGAAAAAATATCCAGGGGTACGACGTAAACGCCTTGCTTCTGCTCACAATTTTATACTAGGTGTTGGGGTGATAGTAAGAGGTATACTGTGTCATCCACGTAGATCTTGTATCCTGCCTTGGTTAATTGGGGGACGCTGATTAGGATGGTCTTTAAAACTGGTCCATAAATAGCCCTTCCAGCGTCACTCAATTGCCCTGAGTGAGTTGCGATTCCAATAGTCCCGTCAGCTAGGTATACGTTTGTGAAGTGACGTTTTGCGTTTGATATCAACTCCAAATCGTTAATAATGTGGACTGATGCTCCACTGTCCAGAGTCCCACTAGGTTCAGTCGCTGTTATTTTGTCAGTCGTAGATGCTCTTTGACCGGAAATTCTCTCAGAGTCTATGGCTTTGATTGGTGAAGAGATATACGTCCTCATTAAATTTATCACTAAAAGCTCCATCTTCTTCGGAGTCGCTGTTGGACATTAGGTCGGGTAGGACATCGTAGTCATCCTCACTAGAGCTGTCGAGTAGGGGTCCCAGGGGTCTATCCTTGGGTAGGTCAAAATTGTCGTCCTCACTAGAGCTGTCGAGTAAAAGTTTTTGTCCGAACTACAAGTTGGATTATTTGGAATAAAATCTGATACTTCTCTCTCGTCCGGCTCGGTGTTTGGCTTCATCCCAAATCCAGGGCAATTTTCGGGGGTTGCCATGATGGCTTCTGGCATGTCGTCATCCGACAATTTGACGTCAGATTCGACATAGTCGGCAACTGCCGAGAATGCTCTAACGTCTTCATCGTCACTACTCGAATTTTGGTCATCATTCTTGTCCAAATTAAACGTTACTTTAGGAGGTTTACACATTTCTTCCCTCGAGTAGTATCCTCTAGCGTTATATGCTTTTCTGTAAAATTCATTACGTTTATCTTGATGATAGTTGGGTTTCTTCGACGGATAGTCGGCACGTCGTGAGTAGGGTGTAGATTTCGGTGTTGAATAGTCTTTACGGTAAGACTTGGACACATCAGCTCTATTACGGTGATGTTGTTCGTTGGAATTATCTCCACGATTGTTGGAGTATCGGTTTTCATAAGGTTTGCGATGTTCCCTGCGGTCAGAGTAGACGTGCGGTCTGGGTCTGCGATGCTTGGATCGGCAATCACGAGCAAGGTGACCTGCTTTGCTACAATTGGAGCACTTTCGTTCTGCTCTGGCAGAAAGTGCTCTCTCTCCTCCTCGAGTCTCTGTATTGGAGGTCGATGTTTGAATTTCCTCCATATCGAATTTTCGGAGGTATTCGCAGAGCTCCTCGTAGCTCATGACATCAGTATCAACTGTGTTGAGATGAGTTCTTGCTGCTTTAAAACGTTCAATAAGAGCTTCCTTCAAGACGGCCTTCAAGTCAATCTCAGGCGGTGGAGTCTCGCCTTTCTCCAATTCCATTTTCTTCAAATTAATATCACCAATAAAGGCCTCCCAAGTTACGTTACTTTTCTGCGTTTTTGTGCAGAGCTCCTTTCTCAAACGGCCAATTTCTCCCTGGGTGTTAATCTTATATTTGGTTTCCAATGCATTGAAAAACGCGTAGGGTTCCTTCATGATATGGAGTAACTCCTGTTGAAGTCGTCGAGAGATCGTATGATAAATTGACTCAGACGCGGCTCCGTCTCATAGTAGTCGTCAGGTGGCGTAGCGGTTTCGATCAGTTGTAGGCGACCCTGTTTCATCAGGATCATATCCAATTGAGCTTTCCATTGGTCTCACTGGACCGGCTTATTTAAATCAGGAATTTAAACTTTGGTTTCAAATCGAATCTTGTCATTCTCAGAGTAGAGGTAAAACGGACCTGATAAGTTATTGTTCTTAGATATTAAAATATCTTTTAAAGTGTTTTAAGTCTTGAGTGAATAGTTGTCATTTATTTGATTCAAGTCCCTGCTTTTATATGCATTGGACTCGTAATCCTTGAGCCATTAAAAAACACCTCTTAAGGTGAAAAAGGTTCTCACTTAATCTATAATCCAATCCAAAGGCAGCGTCGCCACGTCTTCAACTGATCGTGGCTTCCGTTATAATCTTTGGCCTTATACGTTTAGATTGGACTCCTCCGATATTTAGGGATGCCCTTATGCCCATCAGAGATTTTCTATATTGATGATTCCATACTCCCGGCACTTCGGCTCCGAGATTAATTTCCATCTGTAATATTTTTATGTCCCTCTCTGAGTTTAGATTCTCTCTTTGCTTGATGCTGGGATAAACCTGTTGAGCTTCCGGTGTTTGACCGTAGTTTTATGCTTGGTAAACAATCCTGGTTTACTGTGATCAATAGCGATGAGGAATGAATCGCACGCTTCGGCGAGAGCGCCTATTTTGTGTGTGTACTTGTGCATTGTGCATGTGCAGTGTACAGAGACTTAAAGTATGTGCACTCTATGCGTGCGTGATCGATATCCGAAAGGCGCCAGTAAATTAGATAGGTATTCGATGTCCAATGCCCAAGAATCTATACCTCGCTGTTCGATAAACCAGACTCCTTCAAGGCGGACAGACCTCCGATGCGCAGGGAATGCCCAGAGTACAGTTTGGGGTCCAAACCTGCTGCCTTGACCAGATATTTCAATTTTCGCGACCACTCGGCCTTCGTAACCGCTACGCTATTCAAGGAGAAGAGGTGACTGTCAGCTTGTTCCTTGGTTGTGAGGGAGAGCCACAATAGTAAGTGGTGATACGGGCAGATTGCCTGTATGTCGCGGGGAGCTTCTGGGCGCGAACTGTGGCCGGCCTGCATTGTTGAGTCTTGGATGAAGGAAGTGTTAGTAATATATGATCAAGGTATACACGGATCCCTGATCGGCTTACGTGAATAAACTTTAAATAGGGTTGAAGGTGCGGGTGAGCCGTTAATTCACCGCTTCGAAACGGACAAAACACACCAAGCAGTGTAATGGTACAAACGCGAATCTCTATATCATTCGCGTAACGTGTGATCACAGGGCTGAAACGTAGAAGTAACAGACTGGGGGTGATACCGTCGCGCTCACGTTTCATGCGCAATAGACCGTGTTCAGCTTGCCAGCGCTTTATACCCTTCCGCAGCAGAATTAGTGCAGGAATTCAGAATGCTGAATGGTCTGCGCCTGTCATCTTGTACATTCGGCGTACACCAGGACAGGTACGAAACAATGGAGTCAGGTTGATGCCCCCGCATCCCCAACCAGCCGATATAAAGAAGTCAGATGTCTTCCCCAGCTGGTAGAGTGCCAGCCAGAATATCCGACGCGGAGATCAAGCCTTTGTGCACAACTAAATAAAAAAAATGTCGTCGTGTATTGTTGCTGCTTGCACGAGTCCGCGCAGCCGTAACTAATTGGAGAACCTCTTGTAGGAAATGGCTTAGCGGTTCGCCTGTTACTGCCGAAAGTGCGGAAGCGCCCTACACAGTGATGTAAGGTTGTACAGAAGTGTTGTGAGGACTATGTAAAAAATATTTATTAATAATAAAAGATGCGTGTGTAAATGCTACTGTAGTCGAAGGTTGGCTGCAAATGTGGCTTCATGCAGGCGTGCGTTGTGACCGAGCGGTGTTGGGTGTGGAAGCATGTTTGGGAATATTGCGCAGACATCATTCAAGCAATCGCGGGATATATAGTCCGCGAACTCATTGTTAACTCCTGGTATATGTTCGCAGGAGATTTCAATGTCGAACAATGCTTCAATATCCGTCAGCATCCGTAAGATACTCAGCGTTTCTGCGATCGGGTTGGTGTGTGACGTCACGCTCGCCACCGCGCCTTCGTTATCGGAGAGAATGAGGATACTGCGACATCTCCAAAGTGATCCAAAGGTGTCGGTCAATTGCACAATCGCCAGGAGTTCCAGTGCAGTGATGGAAAAGAGCTTGCCACCATTGTTGATAGGGTAGTGGTGATGCTCCTGCCATTGTAGAAAATACCATTATCCTGTGAAGATAAACCCTCCTGCGCCAACCCACAGCAACTGTGATTGCCATGGCAGGGCGAACGAGAAGAGATGTACCGGTCCATCTGTCGAGTATACGAATCCAAGAACGGATATCCTGGCGAACTTTCTCAGAAACTCTGATGTGCTTATAATGAGAGGGGCTATGACGTACCAGCCAGAAAACTCGAGTAGTATATGGTCGTGCTTGTGGAAAAATGGCACGCTGCCAAATGAGACGTCCGCCAAGTGAGGCGATGTCATGAGCGGTTGCGGATGTGCGAGAGCGCCATGCGTGCAACAGCGATTTGTACGAGCTCAACTTATGTGCGCCAAGACCACCCGTACGGGCCCTGATATCTATAAGCACACCGATGTATTCCGTTACAGTAACGAGGTTGCGGACTTCTCAAAGGTGATTGGGATGCCGAGGAAGGCAAACAGTGCGCAGATCTTGGCTGCTTCTTGTCTGCCCCATGCCAGGACCATGTATCGCCAGGAAATCGTCAACGAAGTGGCGGATATCCAAGCCTGTATATAGAAAGATAAAGTCGAGAGCGGCACCCAGGCGCTCAAAGATCTGTGGATTATTACATAGACCAAATGGTAGGACCCGCTCGAAATTCCGACCAACGGTATATTTTGATGCCGAATTCGAATTAAGCGGAAGGCCGCTCGCATATCCACTAAAGACAGCGTTGATCCCACGGGTGCGACAGCTACATCGTCAAGTACTTTACGGAGCTTGATATAGCTGAGTTCCCTGGATGCTATCTTAGAATTGATACTTGAGTGACGAGGGTACGATAAGTGGTGGATGCGACGAAGCTTGAGAGAGCCGTCGGATCGCAGTTTAGATAGAACCCCGATAGGGGATATATAGTAATATGGGTATGTACGTACTTCGGACAATGATAAAGGGCCGTAAATTACGTATTGTTCGAGTTCTTTTTAACTGAGGCTCTTGGGCATAGTATATGCTCACTAACAGACGGTAGTTCTTTATATAAGGCCTTTGGTAAAGGACCTGAGAATCCAATTGATGCGCCATTGGCGAAGATATTTGCTAGCATAAGTGCGTTCTCTGAGTCCGGATATTTAGACTTGGAGAGGAGGTGAAGAATACGTTGATGATTTGGTATTATAAGTGGGAGTTGGCGTGTGTTTGCTAATATAAGAGGGCGTGCTTTGTTCTGTGTGAGGTTTCGAGTAGGTGTGGGTGTAGACGTAACTGGTGGCGAAGAAGCTTGTTTGTTGAAGTGTATGTGTGTGGATGTACAGCGGGGTGGACGTATGTGAGAGAGATTCAAGCGCGGTTGGGGGCAGCATGTGCGTTGGGTGTGGTGCAACCCGAAACATTGCATGTGTGCGAGAAACGACAACTCGTACGTGTACATGAACGAGCCGAATTAAAGTCCAAGCGCTCACGAGATTGAAACACATACGAGCGCTTGTTACTGTTATTACATGTGCAGAAACGAGCTTCCAACAGGCAGCGGTGACATATTGCATTCGGGCAACGAATAGCATCTAGGATAAGAAATGTAGCAAGCAATCGCGGGGGTAGCACTGTGTATTGGGTGTACTCGTTGTATGGGACTATCGGTGCGAGAAGTGTTTCGTCAAAAACGAGCTACACTCTCTGGGGTGTGTGTGTTTAACCAACCAGCCATAAGTAGAAGGTAGGCGATCATATCGCCATTAGTGGCTTCGTCGGTACGAAAATCAGGTGTAAAGCGCCACATATAACCAAAGCGCAATAGTGCTGTATGCAGAACATCCGCTGCTGAATAAAAGGTTTCACGCTTATTGCGCAAACGTACAGTACCCTCAGCAAAGACTAGTATATCGTTGTCGTTATTAGAGTTTGCAAGAGGGCGGTTGTTCTTTTGGCCCTGCCAACGATAACTTACCTTTGATTGTTTGGCCTCGAGTGCCTCTGGAAGGGACTGCCCCAGCGTAGCCAGTAAAGTAGAAGTGCCTTCCACTGTGCGACGGGTCTTCATTCCGTTACCATGGCGGGAGAGGACTAAGACAATACCCTTCAGTTGTTCGATCGGGGCGTTCTGTTGATGTGCTAGCTGGATCTAGTTTTGAACATCATCGCTGGATATTGCAGCAGACTTCTCACCTGTTGATGTGGTGGGATTCGGTTCTGGTGTGGAACTATTTGGAGGAGTCTCCTGAGTTGCGTTAGTGGTGGTAGTAGTGATAGTGTTAGTTGTACTAGAATTAGGTGTTATTGGGAGAGTAAAAATAGACTGAGGGGCGGGGTAGACGAGTTTCTTCGCTATCTTTGTTAGGTTCTCTTCGTGATAAGCTAATTCACGGAGAGTTTCTGCGTGGTTAAGCACTCCGTGTGCCGTGGATTTGGTGGTGGTGGTATTCTATGTGACTGAGCTGGTATCCTGCGTGGTGTCGACATCGGTAATGGTTCGATCTCCGTCGGTGGGTTCGGATGTAGTAGCTATTGTGAATACGTTACTAAGTGACTTGGTTAGGAGACCGCCAAGACTGATACGCAAACTGCTATCCTCATTGCTAGACGGTGTTTGCTTGGATTGATCGGACATTGTTTTTGATTTCCTAATTTTGCTCCGGTAGTGTGTGAGCGAGAGTGTAAATTTGAATGTTTTTAACACCTACTATTTATACGTATAACTTACACTAGTATCCTATGTGTATGTAATTGGTAACACACTACGCCCTCATACGCTAGGCTTTTCTACTCGCTATCTTTAATTGTAATTTCTAAATCGCTATCTCTAGTTGCTATCCTAGAACCCCGGGCTTTTTGAAGCCGGAATACAAAAAGCCGCAGCTTTCAACTTTTGTACAGCTTTGCCGTATAAGCAACGAAACTGTTGAGAAATAGTTAACATTTTACAGTATATGCTTCTGAGGTTCCCAGCATACTTATCCGTCACACGTAATACGTTTCTTAGGTAGATAATGTTGATTGCAGTAAATTTATCGATATCATATTAAACGTTTAAAAAAAAAGCTACTTTGGATTCTAGGTTCGGTGGTGTCGATGGCCTCGTAAAAGCACTCCATGCTGATACCAAAACTGGGCTCTCTGCGGAGGACGACGAGGATATCAAAGGCCAGTATGTGTGAGGATATCGGATAAATCAATAACGTATCTGAGTCGTGAGAAAATAATCGCAGGCCTCTGCAGTTGCTAATCATGAGGTCTACTATTGGCGAACATGCAGTATGTACTGGGCCGTCTCTCCAGCCGGGCACATAGAATACCCAGTCAAATGATTGTTTTCGGTTAAATGATTGATCAACCGATGATGTGTCGTTCATTTATTGGATACTCCACATACTAATCGCCTATGCATTGCACCTCCAGAGCTGATGATTTCGGTGACAATTGGGTGCCTTCCCCGCCGTAGGGCTCTCTGCTGCTGCTGATGTGGGATGCCTTGCATGACGTGGCGTTGGTGATTCTGCTTCTTGCCAGTGACATATCTCTGGTTATAGGGCTGACTGTTGAAGAGGTAAGCAGTCATGGGAAGTGATTGTATCTGCGTATGTATCTCGTTGACCTGAGATTGAACCTTGGCTTTGGTAGCTTCTGAGTACTAACACCTCTTTAACATTTTTGTCTCATGCACAGGATAAGAGCATTGCGTGGATTGAAGGCGCGTTCATTTTGGGCGTAGTGGCGATTGTGGTACTTGTCGATAGCATAAACATCTACCAGAAGGAGAAACAGTTTCGCGAGTTGAACAACGTGAAGGGGGACGAGAAAGCAAACATGTTGCGCAGTGGTAATGCTTGCCAGATATCTAAGTTTGACATAGTGGTTGGAGATATTATCTGTCTGGAACAGGGCGCTGAGGTAGTTGCGGATGGTATCATCACCGATGCCCACTCACTTCTCATCAACAAGAGCTCGCTCACCGGAGAGGCTGACGATATTGCAAAGGTGTGTACCTGATACTTCAGTCAGTCCAACACATTACAGTGTTTTTAGATCAGCTCAGCACTTGTGTATCGTGTTTTTGCATGTCTTGCATAGTTTGTTTATTGTCCCGAGCGCTATTTCTTGGGAAGTACTGGAAAAATATCTGTCGCATCATCTGTAGTGGTTCTATGGTGTATTGTGTACTATGCGAGTGGGATACCTTTCGGTACGTTGTACGATTTGTATATCCTGCAGTTTTGATTCAAGATGGGATCACTGCTGGATATCTGAACCGTGTGTTCCTTGACTGGTCCCTTTGTGCTGTGTTGTCATTTGTCATCCAGGCCCCTGACTCGGCAAGCACAATAGTGCTCAGTAGCACTTTAGTCATGGACGGAGTGGGCCGTATGCTGGTGCTGGTGGTGGGTGAGAATTCGCAGGCGGATATCATTAAAATGCAACGCGATGAAACGCACCCACGTGCTACCAGCGACTTGCATCGGATATGACGCCGCACCGGTATGTTGTTTACCAGCTTTACTTCGTTGTTTGAGATACTCTGATATAGTGTGATGCACTTAGTTATCAGTATTTAGCTTTATGCGGTTTGGTATATTTGTCGCTCACTCGCAGTCTGATGTTTGTGCATTACAACCTGTGCTCACTGAGGAGGGCGTGGCACTGAAGGATATGGTACTGCGCACGGAAACTGTAGCACAAGTAGCAACCATCGATGTCGATGGATATTAATGAAATGATGTGCTGCAAAACGTACCCGGGAGTGATAATAGAATTCAAAGCTAGTTGCGAAGGCCAGTGGCACCGTTGCTGATGAAGGTGAGCCAAGATGGGCAGACTGCGCTGGAAACGAAGCTAGATTGTCTAGCCATTCTCATCGGTTATGTTGGTTTGGCTGTCGGTAAGTACTGTGCTTGGCCTGTGAGACGATGTCTTTCATTGGCTGGCTTGGTATCGCTCTTTGTACATATTTATCCCATACGCATGTTTTTGTTGGAGTGCGCGTTCTCTATTGCCTTCTGACATCGACTTATCTGTGTAATCCAGGTACACTCACTTTCGTCGTATTATCTGTGCGATTCTGCATCGAGAAGTACCCCAATCGCGGATGGGATAAGGACGACTTTTCCGAGTTCTTGGACTTCTTTATCATTTGTATCACCGTGTTGGTGGTTGCTATTCCCAAGGGGTTGCCACTGGCCGTCACATTGGCTTTGCCCGTGGTGTCGTTGTGAGGTTTCTGATTTTGTGCGCACTCCTTAGGGTTTTAGGGTTTTAGAATCATATCTGGCTGAAACGATACATGCACTTAGTGACTGCTTTGTTGAGTTTGATGCTTGCTTAGTATGAAATATACGGAGGCTTTGTCACTTCAGCGCAAATCGACCTCAACTAGTAACTGGCTGCCATCTTTTGCTTCACGGCACTTTCTGATTCCTGTAGGCTTTCAGTATGAAGCGCATGTTGAAGGAGAACAATTTGGTGTGCCATCTGCATGCTTGCAAAACTATGGGCAGTGCTACGGTCATCTGCAATAACAAGACCGGAACGCTCACAACGAACTCTATGACGGTGGTTAAGGCTAATATCTGTCAAACTGAGCTGAAACAGAAGGTATGTCCTCCTTCTCTTAACCTATCGTTTTGCTTCCTCGTATATATCGTTTACCATCAAAGTTGGGCCTAGTGTGTGCGCATGAGGGGAGTGACTATCGTGAGGAGCGATCCAAGGCCGAAGTGCTGCGCTTGTGCCAGTTGTCACAGGCGGACGGATCCACACAGGGGTGCACCATATGCAGCTTGAGCATGTCCACGTGGCCTATTTAAGAATATTAGAATAAATGTATGATACTGCTGGGATTTTGCTGGCGATTCCTTATGTACAAACCACTACACACACATACAATACAAACCTACAACCCGATACTCCTAATGTTTGGCGGCACGGACAATAGAAGCGCTCATATCGGTGCTGACGAAGTCATACTACCATTGTAGATATCAAAGCAGAACCAAAGTAATAGTGCGCCCATACTTGCGCAATTAAGACGATTTATTTGTGAATAAACATGTACATAGCACCCACTTGGAAGTTACTTCTATTTGATGTCGCATTTACTTACAGCGCGAGGATTCTTGAGTTCTCAGCGTAGTTATCTGCTGCATTTAATAGTTTTCACTTGTAGGCGCTAAACACATCGTTAGCCGTTAATCATATTTTCAGTTTTTCAGCATAGTAATCTGCTGCATATATTAGTTGTCACTTGTCAGCGTTAAACATGACACATCGTTAGAAGTTAATATAATCCAGTTACCTCAAACAGGCCGCAAAGATTGCGATAGTGTTTGTTTATGTAATTATTTTCATGTCACATGTGTGAAATTGTTTTGAATTTCGCGATATGCCGTTGGTGGGCGCTGAGAGTACCGATATTTATGACAGTACTGAATGTTCATGACTCAACTAGCCAATCACGTACATATACATACATCTGGTGGTCTAATGTTCGTCCATAAATTCCTGTGGCATTAATATACTAACTTGCCATGGCTCTACATGTCAGTCACGTACATATACATAACATGTACATATATATATATATATATATATATATATATATATATATATATATATATATATATATATATATAACACATACATATATATATATATATATACTATACTACACACACACACACACACACAACACATATATATATATATATATATATATTATATACACACACACACACCACACCACACCACACACATATATATATATATATAACTCCCATATATAACTGTTTTGAGGGCGAAAAAAAGTGTCTGTGGTGGATATTCTTTGATATCATAGGTGAGAAAATCATGTCATGAAAGAACGAAAAGATTGTCACATGTATTCATATACTAAATACTATATATTTTTGAGTACCGTACTTCAAAATCGAATGCAATCTTGTCCTGAATGAACCGCGTGGTTCTGACGTTCTGCTATATTCGAATACTGATACTACAACAGTGCTGCACTGTTGTTGTGCAAAATCCAGCTAATCCCACGGGCCCTTGTAGGTAGTCTCCGGGTCTTCCTCCTGCCACCAAATGGTCCTTTTCAAGTTACCCATGCCCTGCTCATACAGGTCCAGCCACATATTCAGGTAATACTTCATACACTCGGGAATTTTGGTCTCGTTTCCCGCTACCGCATAGCGTAACTCGGGCAGCGTCCTGAACTGTCCCGGTTTGTTAAACGTAAGACATGTCAGGTGTACGCTGATAAACCAGTCATGACCCCGATCGTGTGAGGGTATGCAGGCACACTGCATGGCCACCCAGTCGTACGACTCATTGAGTGCATGCCACACACGCCCTCGCTCCTGCGGCATCTGCAGTCTATCGGCGATATCGTCAAAGTGGTTGCGGTCGTGTGTGCTGGCCCTGTACCAGTACTCCTCATCCACATCCAGCGGCATGGTAGTCAGATCCCACGGGCCTGCGAGCGCTAAATCATTGTCTAGAGGTCTCCAGTTGGACACGCGTTTTTCTCTCTCGTCGCTCCACAGCGCTAAGAGGGCTCGTATATTCTGCCGCGAATCGGCACTCTCTGGGAATACCAACGAGCGTGCTGCCTGACTGTCCACCTTCCTGCCCTTGCCAAACATCATGCTTATCACCTGCATGTCACTGAACTTCCATTCGGATGAGCCCGTGTTGTACCCGTCGTCATGGCTCATGTCGTGCTCATTGGTGAATACCCTGGCCAAATCGTATAGGTTGTATGATGGCTCTATAATCCACAGACCACCGCTGGGCTTCATGTTCTCGTGCCGGTCGCAGCACTGTGTCATAGACCCTGTAAACATCGGGTAGTACAACAAGTAGTCGACATTCTTCAAAAATATCATATCCGCATCTAGATACACGATTTTCTTATACTCTGTCCACTGAAATAGGCCCAGTTTATTAAAGGACATGCACCAAAACGTCTGGGAACCGCCAGGTATCTGCGCCGTTCTGGACACAAACTGGGGCAGTAATCTGAACCTGACTCCCATGGATGATAAGGCCTTTAAGTAGGTAAGCGACATACATCACTAAAGGCGGTAGGTGATAGCGATGAGCACTTCGTCTTGCCTGTCCTTTTACATTCCTCACTACCCACTCCGCCTACCACTAAAGCTGCGACAATGTCAATACCAGGACAGGTGTTGACATTGTGCAATGATTGTACGAGCGCTATACCCATCCGTGCAGCGCTATCTCCTGCAAGTAGGAGCACTATTGCGTGGATAGACCCAGTACTGGTATTTTTTAGGTCTATATCATTATGATCAGAGAAGTCGTATGCATCTATTCTTGTTCTGTTACTACCGTGGAAGATACCACACTTTTCGCTATAATCTGCATCGATAATAGACGGGTACCCTTTCGGTGTCCTAGCATCGCGCTCTCGTATGTCACTGGCAAGCTTGGTTGCGGGTGCGGCTAGTTCATTCACTTTGATTATTTCAACCTGGTCGCATGTTAGCAGGCGATCTTTGTATTCTGCGAGTGCCTTTAGTGGGGTCTTGCTGGGACTTGCGCTCGTTCCTGGTTGCCTTGGTGACGGTGTATATAGTACCACGAGAGGATTGGGAGTATATCGTACCCACACCTTATTGCTTTTGGCTTTCTTTGGAGCCAATGCATTTGTGCTTAACGCTTTCTTTTCATTTTTAAAGAGAGATATATCACTGTCTTAAGCTGCTGTAGTGTTGTACGAGTTTGGTTTATCGTTGTCCGATGCATAAGTAATATTTCTTGACCCTATTACTGTATTGGTATCCGAAAAAGAGTCTAACTACACACCCGGGAAGCTCTCCCCGCTGATATATCTACTCTGGTAGTCTGCATCGAGGTCAGATGCAAATGCACCCCATCCCTTCAGCGCATCTTTTATTTGCTGTGTATACGGAGGGGTCTCATCGACATCCAACCGTCTGCATAGATAAAGGAAGAAGAAGAATGCAACCCCCAAGAGAGTACTGACGAACAGCCTTCTCAGTTTGTTTTTGCAAAGGAGCATCCTAAACTCTTATATATTGATATGCTACATTGGACATACAGCAGATTTACCCTTATCCAACCCCTAGTGTGTAGTAGTGACTAGTGTGTGCGAAACTCAGATGAAACTACAGCCGCCTGAAAATAGAACACTAAATCACGCACAAACCCTAAACCCAAGAGAATCTGAAACGCTACATATCATAACCTCTCTGAAATCGAATATTTATATCTTTATATTCATATTTTTTTGAGTTTATGAAAGAGGAATACGGTACCCACTTACAACTGCGAGATGCCGTTGTTGCCACTGGGAGACTTGAAGCATGTCGCACTCACCTTTGAAATCGGCTTCAGACGCTGACGAGGAGAGCACCATTCCGAAGTCATCGGGTGACTACAACGAGAGTGCCAGCCCCGATGACAATGTGGTAGAGAATGAAACCAGCTCATGTGATAGTTCTACCGCACGTGTGTACTGTAATGGTCGACAGTCTAGCCTTAATATAAGCACGAATGAGAACAAATCTGAAGCACACATTGGCAGTAAGGAGGAAATAGATAACTAAACATGGCCTCCTGAGTCATCGGGGTATTACGATGAAAAACCAGATAAAATAGATAGTCACACATTAGAGGACACCCATGACAGCAATAGCATCCAGTACGCACATACGAACGATCAGGAATGTAAAACAGGTCAAGATGATATAGATGACGATACATGGCCTCCCAAGTCATCGGGATACTATGATAGGACGCCAGATAGCAGTATTTGCAATACGATAGACGACATTGAGGATGATACATGGCCACCAAAATCATCGGGGCACTATGATAGAACACCAGAAAGTAGTAACAGGCACACGATAGACGACACTGAGGATAATACATGGCCTCCCAAGTCATCAGGATACTATGATAAAACACCAGATAGTAGTGGTAGCCACACGAAAATGGCACATAACTCCACATATGCACGCAATCAGACACACTCTCGCACGCAATCGCCACAGTATGGCGACGACAGCTATTGACCTCTGGACCCTAGACAAGGGCAAGGTACAAGCAGTTCGCACAGAGGGAGGGGATCTCAAAGCCATAATACAAGAGGCGGATATGGGAGACCGCCTTCTACGCGTATGTATGGTAGCAACACACGTGATCATGGCGCGCAACGTCAGGATCAAGAGAAATATGAGAGGCGGGATACTGCAGCATACGGGTGTGATGGACGCGACCAGTACAACAATCCCCGGCAGTCTGCTGCACATTACCATGGCAACCAGCAGTATGATCATGCATACGATAACAGTCAGTACGACGACCCACGGCAGCACAACGCACAACGGTACGGCGGTCAGAACTACGGCACCAATGGCTATGACACGTATGCACGTCCCAACAATGCACAAATGCACGGCAATCAGGGCTATGGGGGATACGACAACCACACATATGCACGATCAAACCACCAGAACTACATGCCACACAACCCTATACAGTACGACAGTCGTCGATACAATCGAAGACAACAGTACGATGACCAGTGCTACGGTGCACACGACAACAGAGGGTACACACCGCAGAACAGCCACCAGGCCTATGGAGGACGTACCAACAATCCCAATCGTGATGCTAATATTAGTTCACAGCGAAACTACAGCAATAACTCACCCCGTGGCAACGGTCAACCTTACGATAACGACTACAACGGTAGGTATGGCGGACAGGATTGCAGCAGAGCACCGTACAACAATAGAAATCCGAGCAATCGACTGCCATACCATGCATTCGATGATACACAGTTCGGCAATGCAGGCTACCACAATGGGCCACAGGGCAATCCTCGGCACAATCGCACACAGTACACCAACAAGCAACGCAACAACACGCCCCACAATACCTACGATGCTCAACACAACCACAACAGACAGTATGAGAATGGCAACCACAACAGACAGTATGCGAATGGCAACCACAACAGACAGTATGCGAATGGCAACCACAACAACCAGCCCAGCCACACTCACCACCGAAAGGGCCGGTCCAAAAATCAGTCGGTGCACAACTACGGGGATCGCGGGAGGGATTCTGAGTACACAGGCCACAGGGGTAGTGTCGCGAGTGATGGGAATGTGGTGTATGTGCAGACTGTGCAGCATTGCAACCAAGTGTTCACCCAGCGCGAGCTGAGCCGTACTAGTTTGGTGGGATTCTGCACCGAACACTACACACACTCTTCGGGACGTGAGCTCGTTTCTCTCGTGCAAGTCGACGGGTCGGAGGACGACAAGACTATCGTGTTCGATGTGCTGTCGTGCGCGGATTTGCTGACCCACGTAACTACGCTGAAGGAACTGAGAACGCACACAGCCATTGTGAAGGTTGTGCATGACAGTCGCGAACACATGCATGTGCTCCACGACCAATACAATCTGGTCATGGCGAACGTATACGACACGCAGACGACGCATATCATTCTGCAGAACATCGCGTATAGAGAGGACATGAACGCCGTAAGCATGTATTGGGCCGGTAGGGCGAACACCATACTTGGGAGTATCCAGCACACCCCCACAACGTGGCGAAGGCGCCCGTTACCTCGCCAGCTGGTAGACTGTGCGGCGCAGAACGTGCAGAGTGCCGTAGCTGTGTACAACGCCCAGCATGCGCACGCACTAAAGACCCCGGGGATGTGGCGCAAGTGCAAGAAGAGTCACACCACCGTTGCTGCCACCCACCCAGGCGACGGTGGGGGTGTCTTGTCGGCTAAGGACATGCGCGATAAGCAAGAAAGAGAGGCGAGAGAGGCGGAGCATGCCGTGCAGATGGACCGCGTCAATAAGGACGCGCAGGTGGTGGCCGATATGTTCTTTGCCATGCTGCAGGACGCTGATGACGATACGAGGCTGCTGTATCAGGATCTCAAGGTGTGTTAGTTAAAAAGTCTAGCGTTTGGGTTTGGGTGTGCATTCTTATATTCCTATGGCCCTGTATTAAGTGTGGATGTGTGTATACTGTTTACAAGTGCATGTATTTGCCGCACAGAGCATTGAATTGGCGTTGCGCTCCACCTTAGCGTACTCGCCACGAATGCCATTCTGCACAGCTTGATCCCAGCCAGTGCCTCCCACTCGACTGTCAACACTCTCTGATGAGTTGTCATGTGCGGCCATGTTCTCATGAGCCATTGTCGGCTGTGTGTGTTTGCATTGGTATTTGCTTTCGATCCGACTTGTCAAGTCTGACAACCTCCGGAAGTGTGGGCATTCTTGCTCGTCATATACCTATGTATGGTGTATCACGTTGATTTGCTGCAGCAGTTGGTGATTTCTGTGCCACTTGTTGCAATGTTACAATGCTCTTCTACAGTACAGGCTTACCCGTGTGCATCGGAAAGCGTTTCAACCTGCAATATGCTGTGTAAGTCGCACTTTTCCACCACTTTCGTACCGTTCAACCCTACACATTGATTGCAATATAGTGAAACACCTCGCCCCCTTAAGTCACTGTCAGTGATTATATCGACACTTAATATATGGATCACGAGCCCTGCATTTTGCTACTATGACTTCGTGCACACCAACTTTCTGACCCTGGACTGCCTACATTTTTAATCCCGTGCGCAGACTTTTGCCATACACTTTAGGTCGTGGCGAAACACACAGTCCGAGTATCAGCCCCCAGGAGCCTTCACTGTGAGTCCGCGAGGGGTTTTAGATGCACTAAAACGTCAGCGAGAGGTGAAGATTCTGGACAATGATATCATCTTGTATGCCAACTTGTTATCTGATGACAATAGTGACGATGGTGACACTGGCGTCAACATATATGAGCAACTATGACACATATGCGGCACCGGTTGAGAAAAAAAAGGGCACGCGTAAGACGGAAAAGGGCAAGGCCGGTACATCACACAGTCTAGCTGCTACACATAGCCTGGCAGTCCGACGAGTGATCAAACAGGTGCACGAGAGTCGCCTAGTACTGGAGAGCAACCAGGGCGCTCTGCTGATGGATCCGGTGGAGTTTGAGGCTATCCAGCCACCCGGTAGTACTATGAAGGTGGTTGTGGGGATGACTAACGTTGACCCAAGTGTTCAGTACACCCTGTTGAGCTATGCGTTCCTCTCTGATGTGCCCGAGACCGCTTTCAGCGTTCCAACGACAATGCCGATGCAGATCAGGCCGGGGACCCAGAACTTAGATCTGGTTGTGGAGTGCACGAGCCCGCACTTCGGTGTGTGCCGAGATATAGTGAGCTTCGCGTTCCAGGTATGGGGTGCGTGTAGTGGGGCTTGTGCATTGTCATATTGGAATGGGTATATCGTAGACAGTTTATGTCAATCAAGTGTGGTGTACTAAGAGCGGCATTTGGTAATCGAATGGTGTCGAAATTCGCGAACCTCATTATCGCAAGCAACCATCTCCTGCTAACAACATCATGCCTGTGAAACTCTTAACAATAGTATACCTGTGAATTACTTGTGTTGTCGCAACTCGGAGCAGTAAATGTGTCATTTACAGTGCAAGCAACAACGATCCGTCACAGCAACAAGCGTTGTGCAACGTATCAGTCAGTCGCACTCAGGTCGTCCTGATTTTCACCACTAACTGCCCATTATCCTGATAGCTGTCTGTGTCATATATGAGTGGTATTGATGTGATGTTTGTGATGTTACTTGAATGGCCGTACTGAGGCATGACCAGCGCGTATACATGAGTCTGAGTGCTGCATATTTCTGCAATGGCCATTTCGACTATCTGCTACGGCTATCTCTCATGAGAATGCATTTCACTTATGCGCAGGTGGACGCCGATGTAGATTCGCAATTCACAATCAGTCGTTTCCTCGCCGCGCGCTTTGGGTCGTTGGAGACAATCGACATGTTGTCGCCGTCAACCGGATATGACAGACAACAGTACAAAACCAAACGGGAGGAACGATCCAGTGTATGGAACCAACATTTGCCGTCTGTAAAGGTACCCAAACAGAGTCTCGAGGGCAAACTAAAGATGTTCAATCACACGCACCCGTATCCCCTGCCACAGTCGTGGCGTAGCATGACCGCTGTGGACGTGAGCAACACGTTGGAGGGGCTGCTGCACTGCTTCTCGCTGCCGCAGGGGTGTCAGGACTGGTCACATACAGAGGAAGAGCATGCGCGATGGTATAAGGAGCTGTTCCGTGCGCTTTTGTTTGCTGAGGAGAAGCGACAGATTGAGAACTTACACTCCTACGACATGTCCGACTAGGTGTTGAAAGCCCACAACAAACTGTACAAACTCAGAATGCCGGGTTTGGCTGAAAACACGCCGTCTGTGCTACGAGGGGATATAGTGCAAGTGCTATTCGCGGGCAAGGTGGATGAGGGCAGGGTCATGCAAGTACACTTAGAAGACATAGACATAGACATGTTTAAAATGGCGAATCTATGCCTTACCGGTGCGAAGGTTGATGTCCGGTTCGTGGCTGGGAGAGGGGTAGTGCGACTAGGCTATCAGGGCGTAACAAAAGCAAACAACATACCATATCTGATCTTCCCTCTTCCGGAATTAGCAGATGACGACGAATACGGCAGCACACCGCCAATCGAGGCAAGCGATGACTCGTACTTCATCAACAGAAACTTGAATGAGCCGCAGAAAGCTGCTGTGTGCAGTATACTGCGCGGGAGATGCCGGCTATCGCCCATGATTGTATTTGGTCCTCCTGGCACAGGTATGTGGCAGGGTGTGTGTCCGTTTCTGAGTTGCTGTGTGTTCCCAAGTTTAATTAAATTGGTTGTCATCAGTCAGTTTTATTTGGTATCGTGAACCTATTGTGGGGCCCATTCTACGTCGTTGGCTATGTTTGACACCAACCAACCTTCTCTATCAACAAAATGATGCACAGGCAAAACCACGACGTTGGTGGAAGCGATTCTACAATTGGCGAAGGGTACTGCAACGACTGAGCCTCGCCGAGTGCTGGTAACCGCACCCACAAATGTGGCGTGCGATGTGATCACCGAGCGCTTGGCAGCCCTGAACAAGTCCCAGCTCTTCCGACACATGGCCTTCACTCGCAACCCCAAGGCCGTTTCGGCTGTGGTGGGCGGGTACTGTCACTACAGACCTGATGGGGCGGGATATGAGCCAAGATCACTGAGAGACTTGCAGAGCTACACTGTGGTCGTGGCCTCGTTGATGACTGCGGCCAAGATGTTCAACTATGGCTTCGAGCGTGGGCAGGCTACCGAGCCCGATTTACTGGCACCGCTGTCGACATTAGCGGATAGATATACTACTGTGGTGCTGGCAGGAGATCCCTTGCAGTTGGGACCCGTATTGCACTCGTATGAGGCGAGTGAGTATGGCCTGTCTGTGTCTATGCTTGAGAGACTGATGAGGCTACCGCAATACTCCAAGCGCAAGGCCACTGTGGAGAGAGAGTCGAGCACTCAGCCATGGGGTACCTGCGCTTGTGCAACTGATGTCGAATACGAGTGCAATCCAGAGGGCATAAGCATAGCTGAACCCTACTCAGAGGAAGACTCCGCACTCTCGCCGATACACAATTCACCGGCACAGAGTACGTTGGGATACAACCCTCTATACATATCACCAAACTAGCACACAACTATCGAGCACACGTATACCTGCTTGAGCACACAAGCTGTTCTACGACAACGAATTGATCGCCAAAGCGAGTAAGGCCGAGTCTGCAGCTTTTGTGGACTGGGAATGGCTGCCCAACAAACAGGTGCCGCCGATCTTCCACGGTGTAGCGGGGAAAGACCGTCGAGAAGCCGACAGTCCCTCGTGGTTCAATGCGGACGAGTGTATGGTTGTTCTGGATTATGTGAAGAAGATTCTGGACACCAAGAAAAATCGCACACAGCCGCATCAGATCGGCATCATCACACCCTACGCCAAACAACGCCAGAAGCTCGAGCGATTGCTGCGCACACGCAATCTGCAGAAGGTGCGTGTGGGTACCACGGAGATGTTCCAGGGCCAGGAGTGTCGAGTAATCATCATCTCATGCACCCGGTCTAGCAAGGACTATATCATGTCAGACCAGAAGTACAAGATAGGGTTCCTGGCGAATCCCAAGCGGTTCAACGTCGCCACGTCGCGAGCTAAGGCGCTGCTGATAGTTGTGGGGAACCCCTTTGTGCTGGCATGCGATCCGCACTGGGGGACTCTTCTGCACGACAGCGTGTCTAAAAAAGCTTACACGGTTGTGCCTTACAATTTCCCGACGAAAGTCAAGGAAAGTTCGGTACAAAATGACCCGATAACAGAAGCTGACGATCTGGCGACACGGTTGCGCAAGCTCTGGTTAACCCCTAAGGTAGGAGAAGCTGCAGGCGATGCGGATCCGGATGTCGAACGGGATAGAGTGGAGGAAACAGGTATCAGTGCCCCTAGGGAAGAGTAGGGGCTAAGAAACAGGGCTTAGATGCTTGGGAACTAACAGCATTCAGCAGGCAGACGTATGATGTAAAGTAAATTAGATTAAGTAAATCAAGCAAAGCAGTAGGTACAAAAAACAAATTAGAATAAAGTATTTAGAGCGGATAACATAGGTCTATTTAATCTGAAACTAGTTGGTGGTTCTTTGTGATGCCTTGAATGTTTACGTGTTTCACCGTGAGCGGGTGTGAGTGAATTCTAGTTGCAAACCACGCATCAGAAACGTCGTGAAAAAGGCGAGCTCACTTGGATTGAAACAGAGTTCAGTCAAGTCTTGAAATAGCTATGTTGTATGATAACCTCTAGCACGGTACAGTTAGACCAATAAAGCAAACATAAAGTTTTTTTAAATATTTCAAGGTCGAATAGGTTAACTCTTTAAGTTTTGTACATTTTTTCCTACTAGAAGCCTACCTCTGCCGCACCATTACTTCCACCAACATCTGTATTTAATCCGCTTTGGTGGCAGCACTGTATGTGCCTCTCGTGTGAATGAATTTGTGTAGTAACGGATGCTCTGTTACTGGTGGATTGCATTGTAATGTTGTTCCCGGTGCAATTACTACGCTATGTTGATAATGATATCATTTCGCGCAAAGCGGTAGCAGTCGCAGGGTGTCGCCAGCATATATTTCACGCTCGACTAGTTGTTATCACGTATGGGAGAAAGTCTAACGTGGCACTCATTGGACGTATCTAAATTAACAAGTATCGAAGTCAGCCGTAGTATCACCACTCCAAACGATAATCCAAACGTCTCAACGCCCCAGGCACAAGACGTCTCCAACTAATCTTGCTTCACCATGGGCGATTGTATTGTCTACTCCAGCATGCGCAGCTAGTCCTTCGGTAACACAGAATTAGTCAGCTCGTGCATGCGCTTGCCATCCGCGAATTCGCCTATGTTGAACATCGTCGTCTCGGCAATATTCGACAGCGCCTCTTGTGTGAGGAAACTCTGCAGGCAAAAAGAACGGGTGAAGAATACTCCACATAAGCAGTAACCCCGTTGTGAAACGCAAACAAAGATAAGTCGAGTGAGCACTCAAAACAACGAAAAGTATTCTGACTTGAAACGCAATAAATTAAACTATGTGCATCCTTGAAACGGAATGAAGCGGGACCTACCATATGACTCGTGAGTATAACATTTGGCAGCGTGAGTATGCGTGATACATAGGGGTTCTTGAGTATGTGTTCCGAGTGGTCGGTGTAGAACAAGTCTCCCTCCTCCTCCAACACATCCAATCCTGCGGCCCCTACCCGCTTGTCCACAATGGCATCGACCAAATCGGCCGTTTTAACGAGGCTGCCTCGCGCTGTATTCAGAATCATCACTCCGGGCTTCATTCGTCCAATGCTATATCTACTCACATGTCACGGCTTTGTGTCAGTAGAAGAACAGGGCTTATGTCTATGGCTATATCTATGTGGTATGGTTGGCATTAGGGCTATGTCTACGTGGTATGACTAGCCTCGAGAATGCATTGGTTGAAAAGCAAACTGGACATTGAGAGAGCTTGAAGATGAGATGTGCATGCGTGCGAACATTTTGTGACATACCTATTCACAATGTGATGGTTCTCTTTGGTTGCTGGAGCAAACAAGGCGATCACGTCAGACAGCTCGAACATTTCGTTGTTGGAAACGTATTGGACATTTGGATTCTGTGTTGCATTGGAGGGGGGGGGTTAAGATGCATAAATAGACAAACAAGATTATGTACGGATATGAAGTTATAACTTGTGAGATGCCATCCCGTTCATAAACATTCGAGAAGATATATCGCGATCACGCAGTGCTGAAGGTTATTCATGAATTGCCATAACATGAACGCGATTTTTGTCGACCTCTGACATACATCCACCAGATGAGGATTTGGATAGGGATCGACGGCCAGAATCTTACACCCAAAGCCAAGCATGATCGAGCAGAAAGCAAATCCGATTTTCCCAGTGCCCAGTACTCCAATGGTTTTTCCGTGCACATCGAATCCTCCGAGTCCTTTCGTCGACAACACGCGCATTGCAGAAGGTGAAAGTAATGTCGGATTTAGAACATCCCGTGTAAGGAATTTGTGCACTCTGACAGCTGAGCTAAGGTTCAGGCGAGCACTCAGTCACATATATGTAAACCATTTATGGAAGATGTCAACCGCGAAAAACTTATCTAGGACGTATGAAGATATAACCATATCTACAGACACATAAATAGAACGCACATACCTTCGAGAGCGAAGTTGCCATTCCTTATGCGGTTGTATGCTGTGACAACTTTGCGGTTGAGACACATCAACAGCGCGACAGTAAATTCCGCAACGGCATAAGGTGAGTACGCTGGAACGGTCGCCACAGACAATCCCAGCTATAAATATACATAAACGGCAAGTGATATATGAGCAGCTACAAATTTGTATGAACGACAATAATTGTGTGAGCACGAATACCGTCAGAAAGCTGAGCGCCACAACAAGAGGCGAAAAGAATCGCGCATCACATTGTATCACATATGACGCACTGAGCAGTGAATACCTACCTCCTTACACGCATTGACGTCTACGTGGTTGAATCCAGCACATCGAAGGGCTATCATGCCGACACCATGCCTCTTCAGGGCGTCTGCTGTGGGAGCTTCAATTTGTCCATTGACAAACAGGCTTACAGCCTAAACAACAAGGTATAACCAGAGGTTCAAAATATCAAAACAACGAGGTATAACCAACGGTTCAAAATATCAAAACAACGAGGTATAACCAACGGTTCAAAATGCCACAACACGAGATATAACCAACGGTTCAAAATGCCACAACACGAGATATAACCAACGGTTTAAAATGCCAAAACACGAGATATAACCAACGGTTTAAAATGCTAAAACACGAGGCACAACCCGAGGTTTAAGATGTCAAAACAACGAGATATTACCAGAGGTTTAAGATATGAACACAACGAGGTATGTCCAAAGGATTAAAATGTCAAGACACGAGGTATAAGCAGAGGTTTAAGATGTCAGAACAACGAGGTATACCCAAAGATTTAAATGTCAAAACACGAGGTATAACCAGAGGTTTAAGATGTCAGAACAACGAGGTATATCCGAAGATTTAAGATGTCAAAACACGAGGTATAACCAGAGGTCTAAGATGTCAGAACAACGAGGTATGTTCAAAGGTTTAAAATGTCAAAACACGAGCTATAACCAGAGGTTTAAGATGTCAGGTCAGCGAGGTATATCCAAATATTTACATGCCAAAATACGAGATATAACCAGAGGTTTAGGATGTTAAAACAACGAGGTATGTCTAAAGGTTTTCAAAACAAGAGGTATAACCAGAGGTTTAAGATGTTATAACAACGAGGTATACCCAGAGGTTTAAGATGTTATAACAACGAGGTACAACCAAAGGTTTAAAATGTCAAAGCACGAGGTATCACCCGTTTAGGTTCAAGATGTCAAAACTGTGCGAAATCGATGTAGATCAGATGCTATAGAATACTCTCAGCACACACACACACACTGAGACTTGAATGACAGTCGTTCGCTGAATATGCTGAGCCATCAATAAGCCCATGTGACACTCAAATGAACTTACATCATGCCCCGCTGCAAGCGTGGCTGTCTCTCTGGTAAGCAAAGAGTCGTAGTATGTGAATTCTATATCCGGCCGTGTGTCTGCCTGCGAATGTGAGGAATAGAAACACATGGTAAAACGACTGAGTTTGAATGATTCGTAGCAACGCCATTTCTAATGCGACATGCCAGTCTTAAGAGAAGAAAGAATTGCGACCACTTCAATACAACAGTACCAAACTGGATATACCAAACCGCATAAGATATATTAAACGAAATCAACAAAATGTTGGATCCAACGTTGAATATCTATCTGGCCCAACCCTTCCTACACACGCACCAGCAACACCGACAGAAACCAATACGCTCTCTCTGTGAATGTAGTAGCGCACGCATCAATATCTGTGCGAGACGCCCTTCCAATCAATGCCACAAGCATCACAAACATCTTACAGGCATTAATACCAACTATCAATATCTTTGTACAGTTTACGTACCAATTTTTCGTCCAGTTGCTTCTTCAAATATTTACAATCGAATACAGCAACTTTGGTTTTTTTGCCTTCTCCCGACGAACACAGTGATCGTGTACTGCTGTGTGCCACAGAAATCGCTGGCAAGGTACATCGAAAAGCTGTTGGAGAAGACAAGAAATACAAAAATAATACATGATTGATTTCGTCCCCTTCAGTGGGTATATATACCGAGAAGATTGAAACAACGGAGACTGTTGTATTTGATTAAGCGAGCTAACTGCTACATGCTTTGCAACAGGTGATGAGACTTCCACAGAACAAGAAAGTATGTGTTTATGAGAGATGGCAGATAGAATCAAACCAAGAATATATATATATATATAATATATATATATATTAGTAGTATATTAC